CACTACACACACACACACACACACACACACACACACACACACATACACATATATATACACATACATACACACATACATGTACATATATATATTATATATACACATACATATACACATATACATATATATATATAGTTCATTTGCAAAAACAGATAACTCCGTTTTTAACAATTTTCAAAATCTGTTTTTGCAAATGAACTCACATACATATATATACATGCATATATACACATACATACATATATATATATACACACATACATATATACATATACATATATATATATATACACATATATATATATACATATATACATATATACACATGCATATATACACATGCATATATACACATGCATATATATATACACACATACATATACATACATACATACATATACATACATATATATATATATATAAAACAAAAGTAAATAAGGCCAATTTTAATCTCATATTAACTTTTTAGTATTTCAATGAGTTTTAGTTATTCAAGAAGCTTGAACAAAAATTAAAGGAAAACTTTGTAGCAGTCTGGTCTTTGTGAAGTCAGACAACCAGACCTAGATAATGTTACTATAGCTAGACATTGTCCTGCATGTATACATGTTAACTGGATGACACTGACATTGTATGCTTGCTGCATGTCAACTCTGTTTTTCAGAGTGTGTATTTAAATATCCAGTCATGCATTGTCTCATGTATTCTTGGACAGGCAGATGAGGACTCTAGCTTGAATATGCCACAAGCCCCTTTTATCTCAATTATAATAGTGCATGTAAATACACTTACTGAGACAAAGTATGGACCTGCAAAATCGCGTATCACTCCAGTGGAGGTGCAAATACCCATGTGTCCGATGAAAGGAAAGAGCCATCTGAAAGAATACAACAAACAAAAGGAATCAACAAAACCAACAAAAGCACACCGTTTTAAGATTTTTGATTTTGTTAAAAGCTTATATTAATTTTCTCTGTAAATATGTACATCTTCTGAAAATTTGCTTTATAGTTCTTTATAACTATTTATTTCCATGAGAGTACTAACTGAATGTGTTTTATATACAAAATACAGTAACTACTTTATATATTCGTTATCAATTAATCCAATTTGTTTCAGTCTCATTTATTTTAACTATTTGATTATTGCCTGTTCCACAGTCAGCCATATTTGAACTGTTCTTACTTTAATTAATAAATGTCATTTTTTTTCACAATGAACAGATTTATGCTGATTCTAAGCAATTTAAATGAATGCATTTTGAAAATATGACAATTTAAAATCAAATAGATGCAAATATTGAAATTATTTATTTATTTATTTTTTATTTTTTTGAGTGCAGAAATCTTACCATTTTCATTTCATTAATGTATGACTGACAAATATGCATCACATTACGATTAAGTTTAATCCAAATGGATAGAAATGTTATATGTAATTAAAATACATCAATTTTAAATTTAGGCCTAATTTTTTTTTTTTTTTTTTTTTTTTTTTTTTTTTTTTTTCTTGAAGATTCTGATGAGCTCTTTGATTCTACACCAGAGAGTTCAGATGATTACGTTCCAGATACCACTTCCGAAAGTGACGGTGATGTTAGCCTTACACTAAACCAGACAAAACGTCAGCTTCTTGATGAACTGGATGTTGATGAATCTGGCTCGGTGAGTTGCCCTGACTGTGACACCACAACGTCAGACAAAATGCACGGCCTTACATCCGAAGCATCTGGAACCGGAGAAGAACCCAGTTCAAGTCAGAACACAACGGACGGCGTAGTTGTTAGTGCATACCAAAAAACAGATGGTCTGAAAAGAAAATAGTTGGTTATCCAAGAAAAACAGCAGTCAACAGACAATGCAGTGGTACAATTTTTGTTTATTTAAGTTTACTTTTCATCATTTGCTATGTTAGTTACATTAAACTATATTTAAATAAATAAATACCCGTTTCATTTATGTATGACTGACATATATGCATCAGATTAGGTTTATTATTGTTCATGTTAAAACGGCATAATCCAAATAGATGGAAATTTTGTGTGCAATTCTTGCATGAGGGTTTACTTTATGATAACGGACCAACAGACACAACAATATCCCTTCACTTAATACATTTGCATGGCTAGAGCCAAAAAAGGCACGAGGAAATGGCTAAAAACAGCTATTATTTGAAATTGTTCACAAGAGCGGAAATACACATAAACTTGTGTGTTTTGGGAGGACAGCTGAAAGCACAAGGCTTGATGCTGGAGAATGCCCTTTTCAATATCATACACCTGGCCAGAATCCAGCTTCCCCTGCTGATTCATATTCATGTTATTTTGGCTTTGGGATTCTAACAAGCAGGGCAACAGAACCAGCAAACCAAAGGACAACCAGATAAGGAAGCGGATTAGACACTAGACCAAAATTCCTGTCAAAGTGATTAAAAAAGTATTATCAACAGAGCTCTCAGGGGGGCGATATGAATAACGGTATGAATATCCTGGATAAAACAGCCCCGGTGGAGTTTGTGAAGTGGAGTAGGGCATACGCCGGCACCCCAGATACGCTCCTGTCCATGTGCATATTTATCACCGAGTGTCCTACAGAGCAAGCCGCCGACCCAAATACAGGAGAAGAAGAAAACATGGGGCGAGGAACTCTCACACTGAGATAATCTGCAGTGGAGTACACCAGGGGACTGGTCTAAGACCAGCTGTAATTCATCTCAGCAAATGATTATCGGAAGGAGTCTGGATTCTGATCCCAGACCAGAACATAATGGGTGTTGTTAATGAACTCAAGCTCCATCCCAGGACAAATGCATCAAAGATTCAACAAAGGTGTCGTGTTTGCAACTAATGGTCATAAATTATAATGTATGTTATAGAATTACTGATATGCATTACAAAATGGTGTCCAATCACAAAGATTTTACTTTACAAAAAAAGTATTAAAATGTACTACAATTATCAAAGTATTACCATGGTATTCCACCCAAGTGTATATAGTGCATATGGTAGTCATTTAGCACTATACATCTTATGACAATCCATTCCACACTACTTTTATGTAAAGAGACGAGAAAACATTGTAATCGCTTTAACCATGGCTATAATAACAATAATGACACAGAGGAATGCTACTGTTAAAATCACTCTCAGTTAACAATAGTTATTGTAATAGTTATCTTTATAGTTATCACTCTTGGTGTGAACGGGCCTAAACAGATTTCATTCTGAATGTCTCAAATAGCTTTTTACAATCATTCATGTTTACTGGATCAAGATTAAGTATAGGGAAGGATAATGTTTACACGCACAAAGAGCCGTTTTTAGCCAATGAAATGGCTAAATGAAATAATGAAGGTTAGACAGGTTTTGTTTTCCATGACAATGTAATAACCCTGGTACATTCAAATATTTTGGTAGGCTATGAAAACTGTGAATACTTAATTGTATAGCCACCCTTGTTTGACCCGTTTCTCACACCATATTTTAATTTAACTACAAACCTTATACAGTTTTAGCAAATAACACTCTAAAGATCCGTCTGTTCTTCACACAAAGCTATAATATGACTTAAGTTCAACTACTTTTTGTCATGTTTGGAGCACAACAGCTCCAGTCTCCATCCACACACAACAGCGCCAGTCCCCATCCACTCTTACTGTATCAAAGAATGTGAACATTGTTTAAAATACTTCGAAGAGCGCGTGTTCGAATATTTGAATTTGTGTTCCATGGAACAAAGTCAGGATTAGAGCAACATGAAAACGAGTATAAATGATGGCAGAATTTTATTTCCTAATGGGAACTACTCCTTTAAATCACAGCGACCAGGTTTTCCTTCTCAGTAAAACCGGTTCAAATGCCAAATCTGGTAATGTTTTTATTAAACCTACTTAACGCGACGCGACATACCAGAACGCTGCCACATCAACTAAGCGGTGTACACCGCAATTGCTCGATGACGCGACGCGACGCAACGCATTGCTTCCTGGTGTAATGTTTGGTGTTATGCATCCATCATAAACACAAACCTCTTTCTACGGGACTGAATAGATTTGAAAACATCAACATGAAGCAAAAGCAACAGTGGAGGCGAGAATCACTCACGATAACACGGGGATTGGCGTCCATACAATACAGTAGGGATAGCGGCTAATGTTCGGGTCTATCCTCTCAAACGCTATGTTATAATTCTTCATGGTCTCTATTTCGACAGCATCCGCCATCACCAGCTGTGAGAAATTAACTTCATTCGTTCCGCTTCCTGGATCTGCAGCGCGCTGGCGACGCGAGCGGCGCGTTTCCGGGGTCCCTTTGGCAACTGCAGACCACACACTTTATCAATGGTAAATATCAAGCGATACAATGACACTAATAACCATTGAGAGAGAACATGTTTGACACCAATATCAGATAAACGAGTAGCCTATTAAAGTCAAATGGCATTTTAGCCTAATGTTTCATTTTTATTTTTGTATGAGAGGATCTGGGCATAGACAAGTGTTTATTTATTTATTTAAATGCAAAGGCATTATAAATTAAAAGAATGATCCCAGGTAGGCTATCAAAATAAGATTTAAAATTCATACTTTTGCCACATTATGAGCTACAATTTAGAACATTGTTTAATTGCTTTAATGTAAATAAATAATTAAAAATGAAAATGTAATTTGCTTTGTTTTTGTGAATAAAAAATATTCTATAAAAATAATAATAATAACAGTGTTTGCGCAGAAAAAAGGTACACTGATGAATGAATGAATTCACTTTAAAGGAATGACTTATCCAAAAGTGAACATCTGCTGAATCCAAGATTCAGTGGATGAGTTTGTTTCTTCCTGGGAACAGATTTGGAGAAATTCAGCATTTCATGACATCAGTGATTCCTCTGCAGTGAATGGGTGCCGTCAGAACGAGAGTCCAAACAGCTGATAAAAACATCACAAGTAATCCACAAGTAATCCACACATGAAAAGTCATCTCTTCTGAATCAAGAGAGAAATATGCACAAGATCAAGCACCATTTAGGCTACAAGCAGTAACTAATAAACAGTCCAAAACAGTTCTGAACTAATATGTCAATGGGTTTTGATGTGAGCGGACAACAGGGGATGGACTTTTTCACTGAAGGAAGATTTATTATGGGGAAGGACTCATATTTTGACCAGAAGTGACAGTTTAAAGTTAAAATACCTTAATGATGGATTTATTTCTTACAAGTACATGCTGTTCAGTTCACAAAATGCTAATTGAAGGACTGGAGTGGTGTGGATTACTTGTGGATTATTGTGATGTTTTTATCAGCTGTTTGGACTCTCATTCTGACGGCACCCATTCACTGCAGAGCATCCATTGCTGAGCAAGCCATGTAATTGTAAATTTCTCCAAATCTGTTCTGAGAAAGAAACAAACTCATCTATATCTTTAATGGCCTGAGGGTGGGAACATTTCAACAAATTTTATTTTTTTGGATGAACTATTCCTTTAATGAAAATAAAATATATAAGAAGATAAAAATAAATTTTGTTCCCAAAAGATTTCTGTCAGAGGTTGAGATATGATATGGCTCGGAAATTCTATAACAGTCCTTAACACAATTTAACGGCTTGAAAAATCTTTGGTAACTTACTAGAAGCATGTGTTTCTTTGCATGTGTTTAACTGTGAATATTTAAACAATACAGTTCAATATTAGTTGCCCACTTGAACTGTAGTATAGCAGTATCTGATCCTTATGGATCAATTAACCTCAAGTTTTCCCTCAGTGCTGTATGGATTGCATTGTAAGAGGATCCATCTGTACTCGGGCTGGAGGAGGAGAGGCTCAAGGGAATGCTCTGCAGCCATATGTCCTCCTTACTGGCCCCCATTAGACCTGACAGGTGATATATGGTGCACACAGGAAAAACAAACTACTCAGCAAAAGCCGGCAGACATTGATAAACGAAGGCATGGTGACACAGATACTGTGGGCTCATCGTGGCCGAGCTTGGGGAGTTCTCTTGGGGAGTGTAAAATGCCACTTCAGTTTCTGCCCACAGTATCCAACCCAATTAGGGCAGAAGATTCACAATGTAGTGTCTATTTAAACACACATCAACATTCCAAAGTCCACATCCAAGATGTTTGATCTATTTTATCCCACTAGATTATTCCTTTCCAAGGTCATTTGTATGCATGAAATTAAAATGATCTCAAAATATCTCTCTCTCTCTCTGCTAGAAGCCTCCACCTTTTTACCTTGATCTTGGAGTGGTTAAATATCACAAAGACATGTTCAGGTCACATTTCATACCTATAAATAAATAAATATTCACAATATGCTGTGTATACGGAAAATTAGGCCTAGTTTAAGGACCTAATATTATTTATAGAGTGACTTCATGCACATTTCATCCCAAATTCTAATATAATACATATGGAGTCATTCGTAATTTCCATTGTTCTCAACAAATTCTTATTACTGTAATACAAAATAAAAATGACAAAGTACAATGATTAAAACAAACATTAAAATACATTTTTATAAGATTAAAATAAATAAATAGAATGAGTTTAAAAGAGTGCCTGTAGCACGCAATTAGCCTTTTTTTTCAGGAAACATGTATGCGTGTGTGACAAACGCTACTGGTGGAGCACGTTCAACTTCTTGAGGAAGCTGAATGTAATGTGCTCACTATGGTAATAAAAACTGGTAAGACGCTTTTGTTCTTCCTTGATTCTCATCCGAGGGATAGTAGTCAGCATTTGCACTTGCACGTTTGGTTCTCATAGTGATGTATTCATGGCAGCAGATTCTGTTCTCACCTTGTTTTTGGGAGAACCTAGCAATTAAATGGAGTGTATTCGGCTCTCGAGAGAGTTGAATGCATGCTGTATGATGTGATTGCCGTGAGAAGCTCCACCTATGCTTAACTTTCTCTTGAGGGTTGAGAGTTAAGAGCCTCCTTCCCAAGGTTCGAGTCCCACTGTCACCAGAGGAGAGATCAAAAACAGAGATTGTAGATGGAGCAGAGGATGAGTCAGACGGGAAGTGCTTTCCCTTTCAGAACTCTTCCTGTTAACTCTAATTATTTCATATTGATTTCTTAAAGAAGGAAAGAAACTTAGTAATGTTGATTATCTAATTCTGAGGCATTAGATGCCGAAAGAGTTTAAGCATATATTATTGATAAATTAGTCCCCTCTATGAAAGTAAAAGAAACTGACTTGGGCAAGCTGCTGGATCCAGATGTTCTTTCTTTGACATGCTCTACTGGCGTCAACCCAGGAGGAGGAGGATGTGGCTGAGGAGGGCAAAGAAACAATGGAGTCCTCCCAACCAGCCCATCCCACTTATGAGTAGCGGTTTCTGTCTGTACATAACCACCCTGTTACCATGAGTCTGAGGTGGAGAGATCATAAAATAAATTATATTTGGCCCACATTCATTTGTTTCCTCGAACACAAATTACATGAATGCACAAAGAATATTTGAGCACAGATATGAGTTAATGCCCCCGATTGAAGATACGTTTGCAAACTATGTCTGAATGGGGGAGGCATCATCATTAAAGACTCAGACCCTGTTATCCAAACCTTACCATGTAACATCCCGTTTGAATGGCAACTGGTCAGGCCAGTGGGGCCTTACACATGATGACTGTGTTATGGCGCTTTTCCACTGCGTGGTACGACTCGGCTCGGTGAGCCGTACCGTGCCGTACCATGCAGTGGAAAAGCGCCATTACAGGCATACCAGGCTGATCTGCTGAAACAACTGGTTTAGGGTCCGGGTCTGTTCCCTGCGCCAGTGGCCGAGCTATGCCACACCAAAAATCTCGCTCTCTGAGCCACTAAACAGACAGACATAGATGGTAGTGATGGTGGCCATGGAGAGACATCTGTGGCTGAACCTGGCTGACATTGGGGAGAAAGAGAAAAGCTTTCCTCTCAATGCGCCAGTTTCTCTGCTTGAGCTTTTCAACACATCCGTTGAGATGGTGGTCAGTAAGTTCAGGGAGGCAAAGATACAGTGTGTGGCCTTCAAAAGGTTTATACTGCGGCAATAAATATCTGCTCCTCAGGGCTCTGTGGGGCCTGGTTCATCTAGGTCTGAGGACCAAAGACAGGACCAGAAGGTGAGCATCGCATCCTGCGCTCTTCCTCCTTCTAGGAGTACGACACAAAAGTCGTGATGTGAGGAAGAGTAAGCAAGATATGAGAGAGGAGATTCAGAGGAAGAGATTTGAAAAGCAACATCGAGCAACACCTTCCCTCCCTCTTCCCCCAGAAATTGTTCACACACTTACATCAGGCCCTGGAGTTGGACCGATAATTTTAATTATATAATTAATTTAGCTAAAAACATATTCTCTCTTCTGATAGGTCTGGCGGATGACTTGACTGTGAGCGTTAAGAGCACAACCAGTCTTGATGCTGTTTTTCTGTAGGAGTGAGGATGTTCACTGTTCTTCTTACTGGTGTCAAGTTATATTGCATTTTGTTCAGGTTAGCTGCCTCCCCTACAGCCTGGGGTCCCCTAAGTAGGCTACTCCCTAATAACAAGGTTGAAGCTGTCTTCCCCAGAGTTTGGGGTCCCTTAAGTAGGAAGTTCCATTATAGTAAAGAAGTTGAAGCTGCCTCCCCTGGATATTGGGGTCCCCTAAGTAGGAAGCTCCTTCATAGTGCTGTGGTTGAAGTTGCCTCCCTCACTGGGGTCCCCTAAGTAGGAAGCTCCCTGACAGCAATGGAGCTGTAGCTGCCACCCCCAGACATTTGGGGTCTCTAAAGCAGGAAGTTCCTTCATAGTTTTTCTCCTTCATAGTATTTGGGTTGAAGCTGCCTCCCCCTTTTTTTGGGGGGGGTGTCTTCTAAGTAGAAAACTCCCTACTAGTAATAAAGTTGTAGCTGCCTCCCCCAGATATTGGGGTTCCTTAAGTAGGAAGCTCCCTTATAAGAACAAGGTTGAAGCTTTCTCCCCAGTTGCTGAGGTTCCTTATGTAGCATCTGGACCAATCAAACACACAATATATATTTTGTTAGCAATATTTAACAAATACTCTGTAACACCCCTCAGTTAACAAGCCATATGAGGACCTATGGACCCTTCCCCCGAAATGCGTCTTAACACCTCAGAAAGACACCAGGCCCTGGTCACCATGGCAACCAACGCTGATATCACTGGTTTTATTGCCCAAAGGAATGTGGGTAGAGGACACTCACTACATTTTCCATAGGAAAAACCCAATGCACAGTAAAAATGGACTCTTCTCTAATTAATTCATAGGAAAACCTTTCTTTGAATGAACACACATATCCTTCATGTCATTGTGTATGTTGTTACTG